ACCACTGACACTGCTACAGACTAGAAGGCATTTAACCTTGAGATACATCTCACAGCTAAAGAAGTCTCCAGCATGTACAAATGCTGGAGACCTCCAAATTAAATTGACCAGGAAGAGAAGCTGCCAATATCTGAGGCAGACAGCTCCACCCAAGACTCAGTCCTAGTCTTGTATGCCTTTAACTCGCTGTTGCTTCTTACCTTATTTTCTCCCTCTGCATCTCCCAATCTATCACAAAAGGAGGAAATCTCTCTGACTGTTGAGTTTGTCATCAGAAGCCTCATTCTGTACATGAATATAGAAATCCTTTAGTACATTTAATTACCAATCTGTCTGCCCATTCGTCCTCTAATTCATTGTGCTAAGTGTCTCACCTTTATGCTGGGAACAAAAAAACATTCAAAACAAGATCAACCCAACTGCACTCAAGACATAGGATGGATATCCCCTGAGTTGTGCAAAAACACCATTAAACTTAAAGAAAGTGACTGGTTTGGGACAGACTGATCTCGACGACCAGGCATTGACTGGGGGGCCCCCAACGGAACTGAATGGCTATATGGAACAAACTTTTGGTGCTGGCTTCCACCTGGCTGGCTAGAAAGTTGCACCCTCAGTTCCCCTTGGATGCAAGGAAGGGCTCGCCCCAAATTAACAACTGTCACTCATCTCCCTCTCCTTAAAGCCAGATGGACTCGTGCAGTTTTTCACTGATACAATCACTTAGCTGCCATGTTTCTTCCTTCTGTAGGATTAGAAGATGTCATATTGCATATAGAAGCCCTGACTAACAGGCCCTTAATGATAGCCGAACTTGGGCCGGCCCAGTGGCTTAGCGGTTAAGAGCGTGCGCTCCGCTGCTGGCGGTCCGGGTTTGGATCCCGGGCACACACCGACGCACCACTTCTCCGGCCATGCTGGGGCTGCGTCCCACATGCAGCAACTAGAAGGATGTGCAGCTATGACATACAACTATCTACTGGGGCTTTGGGGGGAAAATAAATAAATAAAGTGGAGTTTGTTATAAAAAAAAAAAATGATAGCCGAACTGGAATAACATTATTGAATACTGAAATGTCTTTAATGAGAAAGGCCGTCCTCCAAAATAGAATGGCCCTGGATATTACAACTGCGTCTCAAGGTGGTACATGTGCAATCAGTCAAACTGAATGCTCTGCTTTTATACCTTATGAATCTTCCAATGTGTCATCTCTGTTAAATCACATGAGAAAGTAAATAAATGCCATTAGCAATCCTACAACCAGTCTGAACGATTTATTTAGTTGGCTTCCTACAGGCATCAGCATTCCAGATTACAATCCCTAATTCTGTTACTCCTTGGAATATTTGTATTCATCATAATATTTAAACTAATCACTGTTTTCTTTACTCAGTGTTGTAAAACCAGCATTCAGGCTAAAGTGATGGTCTTACGATGACTAGAGCCAATATACAGACTTGAGTCCGAAACTTCGATATCTCTTCAAGACGGTCTCATCCATGTACAGACACAACCTCATGAACTTGGTCGCCCCTCATCTTGTCTGCCTTGTTGCTCAAATGTGGCCCTGCCTAACGATAAATAAGAGACTACTTGTACATACTCACTCCTATTTCCCCCCACAGAGGGACAGAGGGAGCCAGGGCAGGTGCCATCCTCCCTGGCCATGAAGGACTAATGAAGTTGATCATCAATGCTACCATTCTGGTAGATTTCTAGCAAAAAGAGGAGATGTGGAATTGGAAAAAGATGGAATCCCTTATGTTATGGCACTAAAATGGAGCCAGGTGGACATGAGGAGGAGATGAACAAATTCCTCCTTCAGGATGAACTCTTGAACTCACCAGAAGCCTGAAATGTGTCTGCAAGTCTTCTGCCGTTCCTGTCAGTCATCTCCCACATTCCTAAGTTTAATGGCTTGTTTCAACCGACCCTCACCCCAATGACTACCCTGTCCCTGGAATTTGTTAAAAAAAATTCCTTCCCTCTTTTTTTTCTTTGCCTGTGTTAGCCATGACTATAAAACCTCCCTTCTCCCTTCAATGGCCGGAACACAGTTCAAGAGCTACTTGAGTCTGTGTTCCCAGGCTGCAGTCCTAACAAACCCTGAGTAAGCTTCTTTTTGTTTTACGCTTACCAGAGCCTACCTCATAATCGATTGACACCGGTGTTCTGGGCGGGAAGTGGACAGGGCTGGGCAAGTCCACTGGGCAGGATGAGCAGGGATGGAGGGGAGTGGGCTTCCTCCAGGGTCCCCAGGAGCCAAGGAGGGCTCCGTGCTGTTTCGTGGCAGGATCAGGTGTGCTTTTTCCAAGGCTCATTGTTGCCATGAATGGGGAGTGGATCGAGGTGGTGGCAGCTGTGAGGAGGTGGAAAGGGGTAAGGAGACAGAGCCAGGGCCGAGCCATGCAGGTGGAGGGAGAGGACTGGATGACTAACACGGGAGGGGGTTGAGGTAGACACCAGAGAGCTCTGGCTGCCTCAGAGCTGGCTTCCAGTTTGGCATGTTGAGTCCGAGGTGCCCGTGGATCCCAGATGCTCCGGAGCTGGGTGAGTATGTGGGTATGTGATGCTCTAGAAACCTGGGCCAGAGCTTGGGTGGGGACCCATCAACTCACAAGTGGCAACTGACCCTCCAGATGGGTGAGAGCCCCAGGGATGGCCGAGGGTGAGTCAGGAGTGGGGCACCAGGGGGCCCTCCCCTCTGCCCAGTGTGCAGGGACACAGTTATCATGCTCCGTGAGTGCCGCTAGAAAGCCCTACCCAGAGGGACCTCAAGGCCTCCCAGGCCGACTCATGCCTGGCTGGTGCGGGGCAGCCTCCCTGGACCCTGGGCCGGGGGCAGGTCTGGTCTGGGAGCACAGAAGCAGGCTCCAGCCACAGGACAGGCTTGTGCCAAGCAGCCTCCTTCTCCCCATGGGGTTTGGGACAGCTCTCAGTGTGGGCCCCATGGACCCAAACCAATCAGCCTTCCCCATCCCAGCCCCTCCCCTCTGGGCCACACGGATTGCTGAGGGAGGGATGCGCTGGGCCCAGGAGAGCTGGGTCCATGAAAGCTGGGCCTGGGACTTTTGTTAAACCCCAAGAGGTTGGGTGTTGAGGGGAGAAGCTCTGTCACTCCTCTGGCCGTGAAGTTCAGCAGATGTGCTAGAGCCATCGGGATGGTGGCCAGGGAACCACCTCGGGTGAGGCCGCCCCATGGAGGGTCCTGATGGCGTGGGGCCAGCCTCTGGATCCTACCAGGTCTGAAGCCCCTCCACTCTCACTTCTGTCTAAGCTCACTTGTTGTGCATCCCTGACCCCTGCATGAGACCTGCCCTTTCTGAAAGTCTGCCTCCCAAGCCAGACCCCAGGAGAGGCTGGTGGCTGCGAGGCTGCCTGCGTGCAGCAGTGAGTGGCCCCGAGGTTCACACTGGAGCACAGCAACGATGGCAGGACTGCCCCATCTCAAAGTGAGCCACCCTTTATCCCCAGACATCCTGGAGTCTATCAGAATGTCCCCTCCACACTCCGAGTCAAGCCCAGATCAGGAATTTGCCCCAACCAGACTCCTCTCCCCATGTATAGCAGACTAAATTACTGTTCCCAAATAACGTCCACGTTGTGATCCCTGGAACCTGTGAATTATATGGCAAAAGTGACTTTGAGACTAAATTAAGGATCTTAAAATGGGGAGATTACCCTGGATTATCCAGGTGGGCCCTATATGACCACAAGTGTCCTTACATGCTTTCTGAGTGTGCCTTCTCTACCCAGACCTGCCGAAGCAGAGGGAGCCTTCACACACACAGAGGAGAAGGCCATGTGACCATGGAGGGAGGACGGGTGGGGATTGGATTGGAGCTATGCGGCCACCAGCCTGGAGAGGAGGGAAGAATTCTCCCTGCGAGGTGCGGGGCAGGGGACATGCGGCCTCCAGTGACACTAATTTCAGACTCCGAGTCTGTGAGAGAATAGATTTCTGTTGTTTTAAGGCACTCAGTCTGTGGTATTTTGTCTCGGCAGCCACAGGGAAGTAACACCCGCCCTATCCTGCCTGGTGGAACTCCAGGGCAGAGTTGGGGGTGATGGCTCAGAGGTGGAGCCTCGGTATGCCCCTGTGCGACATTTGGGGTGAAATGGAAACACTCAATGCTCCCAGGAACTGTTGTGGAGCAGGACCCCCAGGTCAGTCCAGCAAGGTGCCCCCAGTGAGGGTGGCCCAGCCAGCAGCACAGAGCCCTTCACAGCAGCTGGGGGCTCCTGGGTCCAGAGCCACGGTTCACAGGGGTGATTTGGCACTGTCACAACTGGCTGTGGGGGGGTTGCTGCTACATCTAGCAGGTAGAGGCCAGGGAGGCTGCTCAACATCCTACAATGTGGGGACAGCCCCCCCAGAAGAATGTTTCACCCAAAATGTCAACAGTGCCAAGGGTGAGAACATGAGCTGTTGGGGCTGGGGGCTGGGTGGGCTCTCAGGTCTTGCTTCGTTCCACCTTTCCCTGGCACGGAGGACAAGATCCAGAAGGTCTCAGCAAGAGGCAGAGGCTGGTGCCCCCAGGCCACACCTCTGCCTTCCCACCAGCAGGCAGGCCTCGGGCAGCCACGCTGTGGAGCCCCAGCAAGTGGTGGGTGCTTGCTCCTGTGGTCGAGCCTGGGCGAGCAGCAGCCTGGGCGAGTCCCGGCCCGTCTCCGGGCTTCAGTTTCCCCACCTCCATGGTGGTGTGTTGCGGAAGACTGTAGGAGCTCAGTGTGCGTGCTTTCTGAGGGTCCCCTCCCCCACTTCGACCCCAAATCAGGCCACAGTCCAGCCTCCTCTTTAATCTTGGGCTGGAGAAAATACAGATGGGGGTGGGCCACAGTCCTGGGCAAGAGGCCTGGGAAGGCTAGAGGGGCCAGGGCAGGACACAAGAGGCTCTGAGGGAGGGCTCAGCTCCCACAGTCGTCCATCTGCCAGGCTGCCCCCACCTCTCGCAGCCCCAGGCCGACCCCCTAGCCAAGGGGTCCAGATCCTGCTGGAGCTCTCAGTCCCACGGCCAAGGCCAGCCTGGGCACACACTGATGGTAGGCTAGATCCCGGCTTTCGGGAGCAGCCTCCTCAGTAGCCCGAGGCCTCCCCACCCTTCCTTAGGTCTGATGCGGCGTCCACACAGGCCCCGTCCTGGGACACGGCCTGGACCACGTTCAGGAAAAGGAGGTTCTTGCTCTGGCTCTGGCCTCGGTCCTGGAGCCCCTTCTGCACTTCCTGGAGAGGAGAGAAGGCCGGTGCACAGGTGAGGGCAGCTTAGATCTGCCTCCAGAGGGGACAGAGCCCAGGCAGGGATCTAAGAACCCTACAGCCTCCCACTCAAAAGGCCCTAGAGGAGAAGCCTGGCTCCAGAGCACATGGCAGGAGGACAATACTCATGCTAGAAGGAGCTTGAGACGCAAGTTCATTTCTGTCCCGGATCCAAGGACACCAGGGGCCCCCGTTGCAATGCCTGAGAAATCTGGGGCTTTCGGTGGAGAAGGTGGCTGCTGGGGACTTGGGCTGAGAGGCCTCTAATTTTGAGGACCTTGACAACTAAGCCTTCTAGAAGGCAGAGGCTGGAGCCTTTGGAGTCCTGGGTCCTCCAAAATAAGAACTGCCCAATTCAAGGTCTTAGTCCCCGCCTTGGGGTGTGGGCTGCTCAGGGGCCCCTGGACATGGAGGAGAAGAAGGTGCCAGTACTGTCAGGCTGCACAGGACCTTCCATCTCAACACCCACATAAGAAGACCAGAGATCCCAGACCCCAGGAACACGGTAGTCAAACTCCTCACGGCCCAAGGCCCCACAAGATTAGAGCCCCGTTGTTGAGGAATCAGCTGGAAGAGGGACCCAAAGCTTTAGACACCGTTTGCTCTGAATACCCAAGGACCCAAAAGTCCAAGGATGTTGACCCCCAGGCCAAAGGCACCAGTGGTCCCCGCAGGGGAGGCGCTCCGAGCACAGGGCCCTAAAGGCTCAGGTCTGAGACGCTGAGTCTGTGGGATTTAGGACATCAGGGGCCCAGGTGTTGGTTTCTAAGACGCTGGATACCCTGCCTCAGGGTTATGGCCATCACACACCGGCCAGTCTGTAAAGGGGCACAAATCGTGGAGTGTAGGGACCTGTGCTACTTGGACCCCATGTTTCCAGTTACCATTTTGGACCAACAGTCAAGGACCTTACCCCACCAGGGCTCTAGATTCCAGAGACCTCTAAGAACAAAGGCCCTAGTGTTCTGCCATCCTCAGGACAAGGACCTCCAACCTGAGGTCACCCAGTGAAGCCGTGTGACCTGAGCTGCTGGTGCGGTGAGGTCTCTGGAGTGCTATGCCTTTGAGTTATAAGTTTCTCTGCCTGACGTACTAATTGGCCAATGTCCTTAGATTTGAAAGCCGAAGTCCTCATGGCCGAGGCAACAGCAGGGACCTTAGTCCTTGGAGACTCTGTTCTTTAGGGTCTAGTGGCCAAACTCCAAGGCCCTGAGGAATGAAGACCCTCCCGGCCCTTGGGTGTGAAGGCCCTTGGAGACTCAAAGGCTCCACCCAGAATCTAGGATTTTCTCATGGAAGGCCCTAGACCTGCATGGCCAACACTCTAACTCTCCAAGGGAGCTGAGGATCTTGGGCTCGTGGGTCGCTGGATTCCCGGCTGTCATCTCTGAATTCTCAGAATCTAAGGTCCTTGGAGAATGATGTTTACAGAGTAAGGACCTTCAGCCAAGGTCAAGGGGAAGGGCTGAAGAGGATGAGCCCTGAGGGAGCACTCAACATCCTCCTCCACAGGGAGGACCCTACACAGGGAGGGAGGGCCTCGGGCTCTGGAGTCTGAGCTGACAGGCTGAGGTTTTTAGTCTCCCGGCCCAAAGACTGAGGTTCTCAGAGACTACACACCCCCTCGGACTCAAAGCCCCTCATTCTACGGCCCTCAGAGTTCTAAGGGCCATGGAAGGCAGCCCTGAGACCAGAGAGGCTCATTACAGAAAAGGCAGCTTTGAGGACTCTGAACACCAAGTTGGACTGACCCCAGGCATGAAGCCTGGAGCCTTGAAAAGCTGCCAGTCTTTTAAAGTAGGTCCTAGGGAAGGGCATCTGCCAGCCCAGAGAGCTCCGAGGAGCCTGACCATCTGCTGGGGCAGGGCATCCAACAGGAGAATTCAGCTCCCCCGACGTGCTTGTGTGGGGGAGTGAAGAAACGTTTGTAAGAACCCCCAATCCCCCAGAAGGAAATCCCTCTGCTGACTCTCACAGGAATAATAAACTCTTTACAAATAAACTCACAAATAAAAGCTGCAAATCACACAAGGAAACATACCACCACAAGGGAGAGCCTGGGAGGCCACAGCCAGGAAAACCAGCTTCTGGAGAGAACAGCACAGACTAAGCAGGGACCAGGTGCAGAGGTGCCCAGCCCAGGAGAAGCGCGGACCGCACCCTGTTCTCTGCCTCGGAGTCCACGAGACTGGCCTGGTGCCTCTCCCACTCAGCTTTGCAACTTCCCATGGCCCCCAAAGCTGGAACGTGCCTGGCCTGAGACATCAGCAGCTGAGACCCTCCCTGGGAGGTGGCTTTGAGCAGCATGCACTAAAGCGTCCAGCCTAGTGGTGGCGTGGACCGCTGCCTCACCTGGCTGAAATTGGGCTCGTAGTCCACCTGGCCCTTGCTGTCGACATGCAGGATTGGGGCTGCAATGGCTGCTTTCAGGTCAAAGCCAAGCCACAGCTTGTTCATGATGGCCTGGGGAGAGCAGGAGGCCGCAGGGAGGGAGGGGACACCAGCCCCACCACACCAATCCCTCCTTGACCCCGGGGAGAGCAGAACAACACGGTCTCCCAGAGAGGCGACATTCCAGCCAGGAGCCCCCAGACTCACCTGGGCCACAGCAGAGATGATGAGCTCCCCCCCAGCCCCGCCAATCACCAGCTTTGACCCCTGGGCTGCGTTGACCAAGACGGAGGGTACCATGGATGATGGGGGCCGCTCACCTGCAACTGGAGACCAGACAGGTGTCACCCACAGCCTCGCTTCCAGGCCAGCGCCCTCCAGGACCGCCCCTCTATCTCTGTCTCCATTCACTCCGGCTGGGTGAGGTGGGTGGTAGCACCCACCCTGCCCGGCTTCCCTCCTTTTGCCAATGGGGGCCCCCACGCTCACCAGGTTTGGGGATGACACTGGAGCCTGGCTGGCGCCTCCAGCAAAGGTCCAGGAGTTCATTGTTGAGGAGAATTCCTGTGCGCGGTGAGTACACCATCGCTCCAAAGCTGCAGATGGGGAGGCGGAGCCTGGGCTTGGGCCGCATGCTCCCGCCTCCCACCTCGAGTATGGATGCTGGCTCACCAGCCTTCCAGGAGCCCCCTGTTTTAGCGGCTACCCTCCAGCATGCTGGAGCCGCTATTTTCTCATTGGCAACACCCCCAAATATCCACCCGTGCCCCCCATCAGGGCGTTTTTCTGGGTAAGGCCCATCCCCAGGCAGGTCCTGGCTCAGGGCCACCCCATGCAGCCTTTTCAGTCAGAGGTGTCAGGGGTGTAGGACCTCTTTTGACAGAAGAAATAGGCAAACTCAAGGTTCCGCCCCATGGAGACAAGCAGGGGAGGTTGGGGGCCAGCAGACCAGGCTGGGGACAGGGAAAATTCAGGTCTAGGGAGCAAAGGAGTGGGATCTGCCCGCCTGCCCCTGGGCCTCACGCACGGCGTGTTGATGGTGCTGGTGGCGGCCACAGCACTGCCATCCTCTCCCAGCACAGACACGTGGGCCGTGCCCATCCTGTGGCCCCAGGCCCCAGCCAGGCTGTAGTGGCTGAGCTGGTGGTCACCCCGGCTGTCGATCTGCTGGCGGATGTGCTTGGCCAGGGCCTCCCCCAGCAGGACCTGGGAGGCATTCTGGGGTGGGTGGGCAGGGGGCAGGGTCAGTGAGGGGCAAAGTGGGGCCCAGAGAGCAAAGGACCCCCTTGGCAGACCCTGTCCAGTCTGTCCTCCCTCCAGCCCAGACCCTGCCCACCCTCCAGGTCCTCTGAGATGCCAGGCCACCACTGCCCCCCAGTACCTGCCACTCCAGAGCCCCTTCCAGTCCCCAGACCTGCTGCACCCTCCCTTCCCTGGGCCACTGGCAGGCTGTCCTGTTCTAGAACCAACCGCGTATACATCCTCCAACACCAGGCTCTCAGGGTCCACTGACAGAGCACCTGCTGGCCTGACCCTCCCTTCGTGCTGAGCCCTGGGACAGAGAAGGGGGCTCTCCACCAGCCCAGGCTACTTCACCTGGATCTCTGGGTGGCTTCGAGGGTCCCACAGCCGCCACCTCTGCCCCCCAGCAAACTTGAGGGTCTCTACGAGGTGATGGTACAAGTTCACGCTCCCCTCGGGCCTCGCCACTGACTCCGCGGAGAAGTTGAACCCTGGGGAGGGGGTAAGCACAGGTGGCGGTCACCCTGTGTAGCGGGTTGAATAATGGCCCCCCTCAAAAAAAATTTGTCCACGTCCTAATCCCCAGAACCTGTGAATACTACCTTATATGGCAAAATGTGTGATTAACTTAAGGATCTTGAGGGGAGCAGACTATCCTGGATTATCCGGGTGGGCTCTAAATGTAATCACATGTGTCCTTATAAGACAGACACATAGAGAAGAGGAGGACGCCATGGGACCCCGGAGGCAGAGACTGGCGATGTGGTCACAAGCCTAGGAATTCCGGCAGCCCCCAGAAGCTGGAAGAGGCAAAGAACAGATTTTCTCCCAGAGCCCCAGAGGGAACGTGGCCCAGCTGACACCTCGATTCTGGACTTCTGGCTTCCAGAACCATGAGAGAGTAGATTTTTGTTGTTTTAAGCTACCAAATTTGTGGTAATTTGTACGGCAGCCACAGGGAACAGTCAGCCTTGGGCAGCCCCAGCCCTGGACACTGCTGGGACCCCCTCACCACCCTGCAGGCTGCCAGAGACGGGGCTGGGCCTCAGCCCCGGGTGCACACACTGGACGGGCAGCTCACCGCCTGCAGAGCCCACCTGCTCCTGTGCCTGAGACTGGGTCAGCTTGCAGGAAGGACTCAGACCCTTCAGCAAAGCCCCTAGAATGGGCCTCGCCAGAGGCCGGCTCTAAAACACACCATCTTGACCCGTTTCCACAGCCCTGTCTTCGGCGTCGTTCGTCTGAGGAGGGGGCTGAGCTGGAAAAGGCAATGGCTGCCCAAAGCCATGGCTGGGCTTGGAGTCGAGGTTCCCAGCGAGGCAGGGCTCTGGGCGGGAGGCCTGGGGGCTTCACCTTTGAGCACGTTGAGGATGAAGCTGAGAATGGCGCCCCCTGCAGGCGGTGGCGGTGAGTACAGGGTGTAGTCTCCCAGGGGCAGTGCCAGGGCGTCCACCACCTCTGGCTGGAACGATGCCAGGTCCTGCGGGGTCAGCCGGCTGCCTGGGGTGAAATAGAGAGGGCTCCACATACAGATGGGGAAACTGAGGTGGAGAGTGACAGCCACCAACCCCAGGTCACACAGTGGGGATCCCCTCGTCCCTCGCCTTCTAGACCTGAAGGGGTGATGGTGGGTCCGTGGGCAGTGGCCTCAGGGCTGGGCCCTAGAGCCCAGTGGAGGATGGGTGGGCAGAGGCCAGAGGCGGGCAGGTTGGGAGGGGGAGAAGCGGGGTGGGAGAGGCAAGCTGGCCTCTGAGAGACTGTGAGGGTGGCCAGCTCTAGGCCCAGGGGCCCACTGTGGCCCACCATGGCCCATGGCCCATGGCCCATGGCCACCATGGCCACCGCTAACTCCATTTACTGGCTGGGGCTCTGCTCCTCGAGGTCCTTGACTGCAGGGTCCCTGAGGCCAGCAGTGGGCAGGACTGGGTGCACGGGCTCTCCAAGCCCTGGGAGCAGCCAGCACTCCCCCGGGGCCTCGGGAAGGGCCTGTCCTCAATCCCAGCACCCAGAAGCTGGGCCTTTCTCTGGCAGGGCCGGGGGCTTTGGGACCTCAGTGCTGCTGACCTTCCTTGGCAATGTCCTCCAGCAGCGTCTGGCCCAGGCTCCCTGTGTAGAAGGCCTCTGCACCCTCCGTGGCCACGGTCTCCAGGGTGGCAGCCAGCACAGGCCATGGGAATGAGTCCTGAGGCCTCAGCGGTTCTGTCCCGTTGAAGAAGAGCTGCCTGGGAGTTGGGGGCAGCCTCAGTGTGGGGCCAGTTCCCAGAGGGCAGCCACACTCCTGTAGGGGCTCTTGTGGGGTCCTTGGGACCCTACAGGGAGGCAGTCCTGGTCTGGGGTCCTGAGGGGCTGAGGTGGACATCAGGGGAACCAATTCTCTAGGACTGGGTGGCGCTGACGCCTCTCACCTCACTCATCACCCTGGCCCAGGCAGGGCATGCTCCACCCAGGGCCTGTCCTCCCTATGCTCCTGGGAGGACCTGGTCAGTGGGCTGGCAGAGTGGGCAAGGGGGGCAGCCAAAGTCCTCCTTCCAACCCAGAGAGAATGAGAAGGCGGGCAGGGCCAGAGAACAGTGCAGAGCCCAAATCCACACCCTGGGAGTCCCATCACTGGGCATAAACTCCCTCTGGCCTGAGCCCCTCGGATTAGGCTCTGCCATGTGGAGCCCAAAGGTCTGCGAACTGAGACAACAAAGTACTAGCCCTCCAAGGCCCCCAGCACCCACACTGGGTCAACTCTTCAGTGCGAGGAGGGGTTGAGGCGGAGCCAGGATGGGGGCCGGGCTCAAACAGGCCGTGGCCTGAGCCCAGGAGCTGAGGAGGGGCTCCGGGATCCCCCAGGGTTGTTCACCTCAGGGACGAGCCATGCAAGGAAGGCCGCAGCAAGCTGTGGTTCAGGAACTGACTGAGGATGGGGGGCATGCGGTAGCCCCTTCGGAGCAGCGCAATGGTGGGCAGGAACAACTGCGCCCAGGGCAGGCGGCCGTGGCGGCGGTGGGCCTCAGCATAGCCGCGGAGCTCCCCGGGCACTCCGATCCACTGGGCCCCTGCATAGCACAGTTGTGTCATGCCCCGGCACCCACACCGCCCCCACCCTGCCCTCGGCCCCGTGGTTCCCAGGCCTGCCTCAGGGGTTCTCCATCACCCTACACTTATCCCCCCAGTCATGGCAGCCAGAGTGAACTTTCTGGAGCCCACACCTGACCACGTCCCTCCCTGCTCAAAGCCCCCTTGGCTCCCCACTGCCCTCCATACAAAGTCCATGGCCAGGCCCCCAGGGCCCAGCACAAACTGGCCCTGGGACGCCCCACTCCCATCCCACCAACCCACCTTCCTGAACCCTCTGGGCCTTTGCCCAGGCCATCCTTCTGCTTGGTTCACCCCTCCCTACTCAGAGAGGCCCTCTCCCTGGAAAACTCCCCCAACCCCAGTGGGTCAGGACCTCCGTGGGGGCTCTCCAGCTCCTAGCTGCTGCTCTCCAGTGCCAGGGTGTCACAACCTGTCCATGAGGCATGCTGCCCCTTCAGGGGGCTATTCTGGTCAGCCCCAGTGGCCTGGTGGAGTGGGGGCAGGTGGCCTCTTCCAGGGACTCACCTGTGGCCAGGGGCTGGGTCCGCTCACACTGGTCCAGCAGATGCAGGTCGTAGCTGGCGGGCACTGTCTCCCGGGCATTGATGACCTCCACCTTCCCTGGAGTCGGGACAGGGCATGCAAGTGGTCAGGGGCACTCCCATGGCTGCCAGGCCTCACCCCACACCATGGTCCCTCTCAGATGGCCCTGGCCCTGCTCTAGGCCTCAGTTGCCCTCTCTGTACCATGAACTGGCCTCTGGGCTAACACTTGGGATAGGACTGGCCACTAAGGCTTTGCACAGGTGAGGCGCTGGAGGGGCACCAAGGGGCCCCAGGAAGGGGCATGAGCGCACGGGACGGCTTGGCGGTACACTCAGGATGTTTACAAGTCCCTCACCGTTAGTGCTTGTGGACAAGCCCATCCTCCCCATGGGGGTCCCATATAGGCTCACCTGTGGTCGCACTGTAGATGGTGAAGATGACCCCTCCGCCCAGGCCCATGCTCTGCGGGTTGACGACGCCTGTGCAGACCAGAGCCGCGATGGTGGCATCCACGGCTGAGCCATGCTGCTGGAGGATGGCTCTACGGGACACAGCACAGAATAAACGGCCTGGTCCCGTGCACCAGCCTCCCCACCTGGGCTTGCTCGGCTGCCATTCACCAGGGAATGGTGACAGGTGGATGGCCCATCTGCTGCCACCAAACACCAGATTAGGTCACGGACCACACCGGGCTGCCCTCTCAAGTCCAACCGCTCACAGGTCCACACACTCTACAGATTGCAAATTGTGATGCCATTTACACTGCTCCTTGCCAAATATAAGGCACTTCTCAGTTTGTAAAGTGCTTCTGCTGCCATTATTCCCTAGGTCCTCCCAGCAGCACTGGCTCGTTTGCAACAGGCAGAACCATGCTTGGGCCAACCCCTCGGTCCCTCCCAGCAGTCTCAGGAGCCCACCCCGGGCAGCCTCCACTCCTTATCTCACTGGCCCCAACCCCTTCAAGACCAGACTTTTTCAAGCGACTCCAGGATCCTGCTCTGCCACCAGGGCTGGAGATTGGGCTGATGGGCCCCAAAGCTCCTCCCGGGGCCCCAGTGTTTATGAGAATGCTGTCCGGCCTCATCTCCCCATCTGCCCGTGGGCAGTGAGGCCTGGGCCCTTCAGTTCTGAGGTGCTGGCCAGACGGGCCTACGTCATGGAAATGACCCCATCCCTGGGGCACAGCCCTGCACAGCTTACCAGGGGCTGCCTCTTCCCTCACACCCAGCAATCCTCTCCAGCACCTCAAGGAAGCCAGCATTTAAACCCCAGTTACAGATGGGGAAACCAAGGCCCAAAGAGGGAGCGGGTCCCCTTGAGTCCCCTTCTGCCCCCAGCACCCTCTCTCAGCTCGGGCACCTTGGCCTGACCATCCAGCCTGGACTCACACCCCGCCTCGAGCTCCGTGTGCCTGCTCTGGGCCCACACAGACACACGTAATCTTGGAATGAGAAAGAGGGCACGAAGCCAGAAGCATGCAAGAACTAAGGCTGCTACCCTCAGGCAGAGAGAAACACACATTTTAATAAGAATAAAACACTATAAACAAGGTCAAGAGACAAATTGGAAAAAAATTTCTTTTTTTAACTTCTATGAAAAACAAAGGCCTCATCTCTCCTGACCCATTTCTCCCTCCTCATGGAAGTGCCTTCCACACTCAGCTCCCAGGAAACCGCACCCCCACGCTCTGGTTTTCTTCCCACGACCCTGACCTCATGATGTTGGAGGCGTTGGCCTCAGTCTTTGGTCCTCGTGCATCTGTATCTTCTGGATGAGCTGATCCAGGCTCAGGGCTGAAAGTGTAACCTCTATGCTGATGACCCCCAAATTTTATCTTCAGCCCAGTCATCTCCCCTAAACTCCAGACACTTATACTCAGCCATCCACAAGCTACCGCCCCTGGGTATCTAAGAGACATTTCACTCTTAACATGACCTAAACTGCCCTCCCACCTCTGCCCCTAAAATGGCTCCTCTCCTAGTCTTCACTGTCCTAGAAAAGGACACAACCTTTCACCCCTTTGCTCAGGCCATACACCTTGGTGTCATCCTTGATTGGTCTCTTTCTTTTATCCCCGTATCCAATCCACCAGCAAATCCTGCCAGTTACTTACAGCTTCAAAATTTACCCAGATTCTGATCCTTCCTCATCACCTCCACCACCAGCACCCAGGTCCAAGCCAGTAGCCTCTTTCACTGGGTGACTGCAGGGAGCTCCTACCTGGTCCCCTGCATCTGCCTTGCTCTCTTATATTCTAACAAAATAATCTGTAAAGTGTAAATCACACATTCCGGTAATGGGAGAAGAAATAATTCAGACCAAACTTCCCACAGCCAACCAGCAAAGCCAGATAAGCAAAAAACCTCTGCTGACAGGCATCAGAGGCAGGGAAAAAATACAGGCCTAGACAGAGAAGTGAGCCTGGCCTTGGGAGCTTCTTTCCCTCAAGACGACTGCCAGTCCTGGAAGAGGTGGCTGAGGCCACACAGTGCTTTTGACACCTCGTGTGCCTGGGGGCTGCAAGTGCTGGCGAACCACGCTCAGAGACAGGTCCTTACTCTAGGAGTGACAGGGAACTAGAAAGAGACCAGCCCCTACAAGCACGGTGGCCCAGCTTCAAATCATCTCAGTTGCTTAAACTGGATTAAGGTGATCCCAGAATGTTGGTATCCTAGGCCTCAAATTATTTCTTTTTTTGTGAGGAGGACCAGCCCTGAGCTAACATCTGATGCCAATCCTCTCCTTTTTTTCCTTGAGGAAGATGGGCCCCGAGCTAACAACCGTGGCCATCTTCCTCTACTTTATATGGGACGCTGCCACAGCACGGCTTAACAAGCGATGTGTCCGTGCGCGCCCGGGATCCGAACCTGCGAACCCCGGGCTGCCGCAGCCGAGCATGTGCACTTAACCACTGCGCCACTGGGCCAGCCCCTCAAATTATTTCTAAAACTTATTTTTAACAATTTTTATACACACTTTCCAGTGCTAAATTAAAAATAACCAAGAAAACAAGGAATTGAGACAGTACAAACACAGTCCAAGAGAAAGCATAGACAGTGACGAAGAAAACGACCCGTAGGCTCTCCAGACTATGAAACTGTCACACCACAGAATTTAAATAACTACTTTCAAGGATATAGAAGACAAGATTAAGAACTTCACCATGGGGCCGGCCCCGTGGTTTAGCAGTTAAGTGCACGCGCTCCGCTACTGGCGGCCCGGGTTTGGATCCCGGGCACGCACCAATGCACCGCTTGTCCGGCCATGCTGAGGCCGTGTCCCACATACAGCAACTAGAGGAATGTGCAACTATGATGTACAACTATCTACTGGGGCTTTGGGGGGAAAAAAAGGAGGAGGATTGGCAATAGATGTTAGCTCAGGGCCAGTCTTCCTTAGCAAAAAGAGGAGGATTGGCACAGATGTTAGCTCAGGGCCGATCTTCCTCACAAAAAAAAAAAAAAGAATTTCACCAGAGAACTGGCAACCACAAAACATGGAATTAAGAGCTCAATGCTAACAGTAGGTTAACAACAGATTAGACACAGAGGAAAAAAATTACGAAATATCCAAATTTAATTACTGAAAGAAAGGACAGAATATATAGAAAATAGAGTAAGAGACACGGAGACAAAATGACAAAAAAATATATATCGTGCAGATACTAACCAGGCTTGTACAACTATATTCATTTCAGACAAGGTAGACTTTAAGAAGAAAACTATCATTAGAGATAATGAGGGACACATTATTATGACAAAAAGCTCAATTCAACAGGAAGATAAAAAATCAGAATGTGTATGCACTTAGTTTTAAAATATATAAAGCAAAAATTGGCAGGAAGAAAAGAAGAAATAGACAAATATACATAGGGGGTGACTTGAACACTCCTCTCAGTAACTAACAGAATAGCAGGAAAAATCAGCGAGGCTGCAGAAGATCTGAATGACACCTTTATAATAAGTTGACTGAACTGACATACATAGAACACTATGCTCAACAATCACGCAGTTGAATACACATTCTTTTCCAGAACACACAGAATATTTATAAAAATTAATCATTTGCTGGACCTTAAAGTAGTTTCCAAGAACTGATATCATATAAATTAATTAGAAAATCCCCAGGTGTTTGCAGATCAAGAAAAATACTACTAAATAACCCATGAAACAAAGAAGACATTACAAAATATTAGAAAATATTTTGAACCAAGTGTAATGAAAATACCATAGGTCAAAAGTTGTGGGGTTGAGGGGCCAGCCCAGTGGCGTAGCAGTTAAGTTCACGTGCTCTGCTTCAGCAGCCTGGGTTCACAGGTTCAGATCCCAGGTGCGGACCTACATCACTCATCAGCCATGCTGTGGCCGTGACCCACAAACAAAACAGAGGAAGATTGGCACAGATGCTAGCTCATGGATAATCTTCCTCAAGCACAAAAAAAAAAAAAAAAAGGATGAAAAAGAAAACCTAAAATTAAGTACAAAATGAAAATAAATTAAGCTAATGGTATATTGAATGGCTAACATAACCATACAGAAAAAATAATTTAATTTACTTACTGTATATCTTTTGTGGGATATATCCTAAGGAAAACAAACTGGCAAAGACACCTTGAATTTCACTTAGTAGATTTATTGTTCGTAGTGGTATTGTTGAAGTAATTCTGAAACTATTTTGTGAGTATTTGGGGATAGAGCAAGAAGTAAACATATTGACATTGTTGGGAACTTCTCTCACCATCTCAGAAGAGACATACAAGTAAGGGATGGAGAAAGGTGGAGAAGACCCTGTCATGGTGGACTTGAACTGGAGGGATCAGTAAGGACTCACGATATTTTAAAAATATAGTTTGTTCTGGCTGCATGCACTGACACAACCTAGAAGCAATGGCATCCCAGTAGTGATGAGCACTCCTAGCATCCAGATCTTGGTTTCTAAAATACCGTTCTCTATTAATTCCTGATTCCAGGTCTGGTTGAGGGAATGTACAAGTAGATCCTGGAACATCTAGTGCTAGAAGACAAGAAAATTCTCCAAGACTAATGGAGACCTGAAAAAGAACAGTTATTGGCTTAAACGGGTTCTCACTTGGTCAAATTTGTGACGATTTGAGCATCCAAAAGAATAACAGTGATGGATTGTAATATAATGAATTAAAATAATCCATGAGTCAATAGTGATCCACAAGAATATCAGGGTTGGGGTGTAGGGGGATCTTCTTTACAGAAGATACCAGCTAATGAATGTTGAAGAAATGACAGGTTTAGAAATCACCTTTTTGTAAATACAAATTTATTTATTCAGACAAGGATCAAAATAGATGCTAAAACATAGGGTAAAATGTTGTCTGAGAAAAAGATGTTCACATGGTCTCAAAGTATCAAACCACATGTTACTAATTTAATAGGGAAAATGGTACCTCTTACAGTGGAGAGATCTGGGGGACACCACCTTTAGGAAGTGACCCACATAGTGTCATCAATGACGGGAGAGCTTGACATTTTGATCCCTCTTATGAGTTACAACTGGAAGGACAAAACA